TAGTATATCTACTAATACTATGACCTTGCTCCCATAAATAGGAAAGAATTCGAACTAAAGTTGCCTATTATTAGCTGATAAATGTCATGTTACAAGCTCAAGCATTCATTAATTATTCATCCAAACAGTGAGAGATATAGCTTGGATTTGTGTTTCTGGCTGCTTGCATGTTTAATATAATACATCATCAGAGACCAATTTCTTTTGGATTTCTCATAAATTAATCTTTTGAGAATATTGCAAGTTACAACTCTTCAAGTAAAATAAGTAGTTACATCGTATGAGAAGCACAAGGTTACATGCTCCGAAATTTACGTATGGCAAATTAAAAGTCTCGGTCCATCTACTACGCATAAGATCGCACCTGTTGTTCCAGCTTCTGCTGTCGCAAGTCGAGTGATGTCATTTTGCACGAAATCGGTTTATCAGGCGATGATCGACAAAGATGTGCAGCCACAAACCGCTGACAAACCAGCTTTGTTTACGCCAAACACACTCGTTCACCTATGGTACCTAGGCAACCGTTCGAGCTTCTTCGTAGCTTTCACGGCTTTTATGGCGGACTCGCAAAGTCGCAAAGCTGAAGAATGGCGCCCGATTAAAAAGGGTCTCAGACGCACATATCCCACAAGAGAATATAACCAATTGATCCCTTTGATTTTAATTTTGGATATATTGGTCATATGGACAATAATAAGAGGTATGTTTTTCCTTTATACATATTGCATATGTTAAGAGAGTGAAAATTTCCCTTTGAAAAAATTAAAAATTTTGAATATTTTTGAAACTATGAGAGACAGAAAGAAATATTATAAATAAAAATTGAATGATTTCAAGAACATTTCAAGAGTATTTATAATAATCATTACAAAGAAATTTATTTTAATGGAAAATTTTTTTATAAAAATAAATTTTAAAAATTTGTTTTTAATTACAATTATAAAATACTTTTGAAATCATTTAACTTTTATTTTTAATTTTTTTTTTCTATCTCTTATAGTTTTGGTGATATTTTACTTTGAAAGAAAAAAGGTCAATTTTTTAAAGGATATGGTTACTCTTTTAACATATAACCTACCATGTATAAAAAAATCATCTTTTATTTTTGTCGGCTGATGTGATTAACTAAACTGGGATGACACCTGATTGGACAGAGTTTGATTAGACACGAGCCATCGTTTGAGACTAAAAAACTCCTAAGTATCCAGCCGTTATGATTGATGGTGTCCAATCAAGACATGGTCAATCGAGATCAATCGAGATCCTTCCAATAATTGCATGATGTACAACTGCCTCCTTTTTAAAAAAGAACAGATCTCATGAGTGACCAATCATAGCCGAGAGCTGTCCAAAATGGCATCCTCTAATCTAGTGGCTCCAGCTAGCTCTCGAGAATATTTACATCGTTTACATCTCTAGTCTCAAGAATTTGTTAACCGGTTTGGCGTCTCCCTCGTGGTAGGTTTAAGTTTGTTATTTAAAAAACCAAGCAATATTTAACTCTCCGAGCTTTGTTGATTAATATAAAAAGTAAAGCTTGAAGGTTTTCTGTACTTTTACGTAAAATATGGATGACGAGGATGAAACATATAAATTGTGGCGCATCAGAAAAACCGTGATGCAGCTGTGCCACGACAGAGGTTACCTTGTCACGCAAGATGAGTTGGATCAGACGTTAGAATTATTCAAGGAACAGTTTGGAGATAAGCCTAGCGAGAAAAGGCCGGCTAGGAGTGATCTTATTGTTCTTGTGGCGCATAACGATGATCCTACGGATCAATTGTTCGTCTTCTTCCCAGATGAACCAAAAATCGGCATCAAAACCATCAAGACATATTGTCAGCGCATGCAAGAAGAGAAGATCCACAGGTTGTTTTTCATATTACAATATTTTATATCCTCAGTCCTATTGCTCGTGACCGAGCGTGGTGACTTCTCTCATATGCTTGTGGTCATATGGGACCTACAGTTTAACATCGATTCCGAACAACGAAATTTTATTAGAGAAGTGCTCTTGGCAAGGATACTCTCGGTGATTTGGAATTGCCTTCTGAGAGGAGCTACAAGTGTTTGAAAAAATTTTTCGGTCTAGGATTTCTTGTGCTGCTTTGCCATGCTTGCACTTTTATATAATATATTATAATATATTTTTATATATTTTATATAATTAGTATATTTTATATAATAGAAATGTTGATTCTTACATAAAATTGATTAAGATTTATCTTATACTTCACTCACACACAATTTTTATCTTTACATTCGACATTGATTAAAGCCTTATGTCGATATTAGAAATTGCTCCGAGATTTCAAAAAAAGAAATAATAAAATCACATTTGAACAATTCAGTCACGTAATCAATGCGATTGGTTCATTTTTTCTTTATCCAAGATCTCGGATTGATTTTTAATATTATGGACACAAGGCTTCAAAACCGAAACATACATGAAATTAATATCACATTTGGGACTCGTCAACTACTAGTCAACTATTCTCAAATAGAGAGTTCTCCATAACAATTCACTTACATTTCATTTTTATATAATTTAGCAATACATCTTCACAAAAAGAGTATGTGATTCAATACTCTTTAAATAATTATTGCTATTAATATTATATATAAATTTTAGATTTTATTTCAACATTATTAGATATACAACAATTATATGATAATACAAATAATTTATTCATATTAATTCATTTTATCTTAATATTTTGAGAGATTACAAGACGTTATTGATTATTACAGAGCAATAATTGTCGTCCAGCAAGGCATGACACCATCTGCTAAGCAATCGCTGGTAGATATGGCACCAAAATACATACTGGAACAGTTTCTGGAATCTGAATTACTGATAAATATTACCGAACATGAATTGGTACCCGAGCACATTGTCTTAACTCCGGATGAGAAAGAAGAACTATTGACAAGATATAAGCTAAAGGAAAATCAGCTGATGCGAATACAAGCTGGCGATCCAGTGGCACGATATTTTGGTTTGAAACGTGGACAAGTTGTAAAAATAATCAGATCGTCAGAAACCGCGGGAAGATACATATCCTATAGGTTGGTTTGTTGAGGAGGAAAAGGAAAAAAGAGTAAAGAAGAACAAAGACTAAATCGCGAAAATCTCTCAGACTAAAAAAAAAGATATTTATTAAAAGGTAAAAAAAATGCAGCTCGAAATTTGACATTTATTGTAGCAGCATTTTTTATAATGGTGCATCGTTTTGCATCTAGCATTATAATATCTGCAATTATACATTATTATGCTATGTATGAAATAATCTGTCGCATTGAATGTTAAACATTGTACAGTTAGCAGCAATGAATAATTACAGTTTTCACACGTGAATACACATCTCTAAAATGCATTCTTACCTTTCCAATATTTTAATGCACTATTGGCAATTATATGCGTAAAATGTGTAATTCGTTTGCATGGTTCATTAGCTCACACTTATAATCAATATTAGGATATAGTTTAAGTTTTATTACAGAAACAACGATCGGTACAAAAACGATTGCGACTTGCAACAGTCGCTCGATTATCTGGCTTGGATAGACATTGTTTCGAGTTATTATTATTATTATTATTATTATTATTATTATTATTATTATTATTATACATTGCTTGGTCCAAAAGTATCGTTCTATATACGGTACATTCTGACATAAAAGTATATCAGTAGCAGAATTTTCTTTCTTTCAGTGTATAGTGATTTAATTACTTCATCAATTAATAAGTGACAGTCGAGTGATTCATCCATTAATAACACATACACATTTTTTCAAGTCTAATTGCATTTATTCGTAGAATACTTTTTTTAATGACTTCTCTTATTATGATATACTGTTTTCTCCTCTTATTCGTTTCCTTGCTTATTAATAAGATTCAATTTGTGCGTGAATTGAATCAGAAGCGTAATTAGCAGTATATTAACGCAATTAAATAATCGTATACTTCTTAATCGAAGAAATATGATATTGCAATCTGAAATATGCTTAAACTCTGATAACTTAAAGGATAACTTTTGAAAAAGCCTTCCCCGAATTCAAATTCTACTACGTAATCCCTATTAAATCTTATTCAAATCTAATATTTAATCTTAACGTTTTGATCCTACTTATAGACGGGAGTCGAACATTGTTTATTAAAGCCAGCGGAATAACATCGATTGTGAGATGCGAATTTCCGCTTTCAGAATTTATCGCGGTCGATTGATAAAGCTAAAAGCGTACGAGCAGGAAGTTTCCCAGATGGCATATTCGCTAGCGTATAATGAACAGGCAGACCAACCAATCATTCGTTCTATACTTGTTACAATAAATGAAATCACATGCTATATAAGCGGCAGCAGTCGGCTAGCATAAAGACAGCTTGCTACTGGTATAGCATGTTACTTCGTGATCCAAAGGAATAATCATTATCGTTGGGCACAAGTAAACAAAGCACACGCGGCCATAATTAATATAATATATTGTTATCAATAAAATGTAACATAACATTAATAGTCATAATAATAATAACCATAAAAGATAATAATAATAATTACAGAATAATGCTACGAAGTTCTGTGCTTTACGCAATAAGTAAAGAAAAAGTATAGAGTCCTCAAAAAGGTTTACAAAAAAAGGAAAACAAAAATATACATATTCCTCGAACGCGATTCCCATTGTAGGCGGAGACCGTGCGAGAGACCCTTAGATCCTTGGGGATATCCATTGATACTTAGATAACTCTTAGACAAAGGATCATTGTAAACTGTTAGAATTCTATAAATGCTTGAATCTTTAGATCCTTAGGCATCTTTTAGGCATTTTTTCATTCTAGACGTTCATAAAAGCATGAATTCTTCAATCCCCGGATAACATCAGAGATCTTCGGATCTTCGTCAAACTCTTTAAATACTCAAATCGTCCTTAAATTCTAGATGTTGTTAAATCCTCGTGTTTAGATGTTTCGATGTGATATCGATGATGATTTTTTCTTTCTCTTTCTTTTTCATCGATTAAATAAACGTGATGTTTATTTTTCGGTATTCAAGGATTTTGGTGTTAGGATATATTCGATTCATTTTTAGTCATGTTTACTTAGAAGACTTTTCGGCGTGACCACCAGTATACTTTAGTGGCCCATTCGATAGGTGAAGTTTGTAAAATATTGTTTATCAAATCCGCGGCAACTCGGATCCTGTAAGTGATAGAGGTGGGATAAGGCGGCCACTGTTCCCAATAACGGCCTCTGTGCGTTCGACCATATGAGGCCTAAAAAATTATATACAAGTTATATATTAATCATTCTAAATAAAAGGTGTATATATGATAAAAAAAAATATCAATAATGGAAAAAGAGGAAATACAAAAAATTAAAGACATTTTTTATTATACAATAATGATGTTATATATATTTTTAATATTCTCAATCTTTCTTCTTCATATCTCATATGATGGCGCATATATTTTTTTATAAAATTGTAAGAAACTTATTAAACAATAAGATGAAATTCGTATTAAAATTTATAAATAAGAAAAAATAGATATATTTAAATAAAGATAAATTGCAAGAACTTTATTACCTAGGAGTGGTATGGCGTGACATAGGTGGACGGAAAAAGTCCCCGTCTATTTCCGATTTCTCCATGCCACCAATGCTGATCTGTACGATCTGTGACAGTAATTACATCTCCTCGTCGGAACTCCAATTCGCCAGGCTCTTGCGGTGCAAAATCGTAAAGTGCTTGTACCAAACACTGAAAGCCATGATAAATAATAGTTTAGTTTATCATTATTATAATAAAAATATTAGTTTATCATTATGTAATCAAACACATATATAAATAGATATAAATAAAAAAGAACACTTATCACAAAACGTTCAAATCTTCTCTGTTATTATAGAGATAAATCGTACTGTTATTATAGAGACAATTATTATAATGTCAATTTTTACCTCCTCAGGGACCATATCACGCAGTTTAACATCCTGTGAGCGAGAAACAGACGCTGTACGATGATATTCCACCAGTTCATTGAGGCTATTAAATTTGACAACCCATAAAAAGAACTTGCCTTGTGCGTCTCTTAATACTTTGAAATGCTGCACACCGTCGGAGCATCTGTATATATAAATTAAATTATAGTTATTTCATTTTATATTTCGTTAATAATTAATGACAATATTAAAAAACGATTATTTTTAGTTTGTAAAGACCTTTAGTGGGGAATGGATTTCCTATATATGTAATTGAAATTTCTATTAAAATCTATGCTGAATATTTCTCATTTGTCACAAAAATATCAATAACTATAATTAGATACATATTATTTATCTAATATAATACTCACTTTACGGATAAGGAGAAATCACCAGGAGAGCTTTCACTGATTCTGATCAGAAAGGCACCTTCATGTTTGTTCATCAATAATCTTTCAGCGTCTGCTCTGGTTATCCTGCCATAATACCAGCTGTGACAAATAAAATACAGAAAATAATTTGTGTACAAGATTATACATGAATATATTTCTATATGAAAACAAGAATATACTTTAGACAAAAATTGTTAAATTTCTGTCTCTAATACATAAACATATCATACAATAGTAACGTACTCATGGCTCTTCATCTCAATGTAATTACTCGGTATAAGTCCTTCTCTAGAATCCAATTCAGCTCTATACCAATTCATATCATCCTCCATATTTAGAATCTGCAAAAAAATGTTACGTGTAAGAAATAATTTTTAATTTAGATTTATAAAAGTACATATAACATTTTAATATTAACTGCACATTTTAATATTTTTATATTAACATTTTGGGATTTTAAACAAAGGAAGTAGAAACTGCATAATTCTATTTAAATTTAAATTGAAAGGGGAAAAAGTTAACATCTCTTATACAATTAATAATGGAATTTTATAATTATATAGCACATTTTATAATTTAAAAAACTGAATATTTTATTAATAATTGGGGCTATAAATTCTTTTAAAAAATAAAAGTCACAATCTGATAAATAATTTCAATTTTCAGAAACCTGAATACAGTGAGTACAAAAGTTTTTGTATAAGGAAATTTTTTTATAAAAAAGCCTTATTTAGAAAATAATGTAGAAAATTATGTAGAAAATAAAGATTAATTAACAATTTTATACAGTGAATGCATTCTGTTCTAACATAAACAAATGAGCTTCGCATGTATTCCTGATTTTAAAAGCTCAAATTCTGTACGAATACTTTTTAAGTATCCAAACAATACAATTTTTAATTTTTGCTTACTTTTGAGATATTATATTTTCTATTATACATCTTTTTGGTATATACAATTTTGAAAAATGTATACTCTATTTTATTCTTTATAAATAAATTGTTAATTCAGCAAGAAATGACCGTTGAATTAAACATTGAATTGTCGAAATCATCGTATCGATATCGCTTCGACATCAATTGATGAATCATTTTTCGCTAGATGTTTATTTTTTAAAAATAAAGTTTTTGTTTTTTTAAATTATTTTCACTGGGAATATTTTTTTTTACTCATTGTATATCTAAACCTCCAAAATATTACAATTTATGTCATTTAAGGATTTTACTGTCAAAATTTAATTGAATTTAATGTTATCGATACATTGAAAAATAATATCTATAATGCATAATAAATTATTTGTAATTTTAGATTGAAATTTGCAAAAAAAATGTTATCATCGTTTCTTATAATTAGTAATAATTAAAGCTTTTAAACATTGCTATAGAGAATTATTATTAAATTATCAGTTATTAAAAAATTATGAAATAATTTTTTCTCTCTCTCTCAAAATCAAAATACAATTATCACATTCACTTCACTTATAAGAAGTAAAATTAAAAATAGCCTTTAACAAATATTTCAAAAAATATGAAATTTACAATGAATCTGATACATATAATCTTCTCTCACTTTCCTTCCTTTTTTCATTTTTTAATCTTTGAAGCACAAATATATACATGCTCAAATATAAATATTTTTATACAGAAGAATGTGTCGAAACACAGCTTAAAAGAACATATTCATCAACAATTACTTTAATCTTTACGACAATCATTGTAGTTATTGCTCCAAACAATAACAATCGTTATTGCCTCGAGCAATCTTCATAGAATGTTTGTGTCACACATACGACAGCTTTCTGAGCGCAGTGAATGCCGATCGACGGATTCATTCGTATGTATATACAACATCTCTCGTATTTTTTAGGACATCGGTCGACGAGCCGCGACGGTGGAAGTTTCGAGATCGGCCGGAGGTCTCGTGACTCGTGATCGCGGTGCGACGCGACACGACGGAGACGGGACGGAATGAGGCGCGAGGCGACGCGAGGCAACGCGCCTCGTCAGAGCGTCGGACGACGAACCAGGTGACGGGGATAAGGGTCGGCCCAGGTAGCCATCTCCGAAGTTCTACCAACCTTCAGGACCTGGCTCCTGCGGAAGCTGAGCTCGTCCTCGGCGGTCGCCGTGAAATCGTGCTTCGCTATCGCCTCCATATTCTGTCCTCCGAGACGACGGAGTCGACGGGAAACGACGTGCCGCTGCTGCTGGAGGGAGCGAGAGGGCGCTCGCTATACGATGCTCCGCACCGTGGAGAGAAGAGGAACAGACTAACGGAGTGCCTACGTTCGCGAGGGAGTGCACTTGAGGAAGGAAGAGGAAGGGGGTCGCGGGAGGAGAGGGAAACGGAGGTAGATGGAGAAGAAAACAAGAGAAAGAGGAAAGGTGCTCACTTGCTCGTTCTGCGAGCGCGTACGCACGCGAGGCGATGCGTATTTATTTTATTTTACGAGTACTTACTATGGAGAAAAGGCGAGACTCGCCGGAGCGATTGGATATGAAGTTTAGCGAAAGGACAATTATGGAAAGTCGCTAAAAGGACCGAGGACCGCTCACAAAGCACAGAGAGAGAGAGAGAGAGAGAGAGAGAGAGAGAGAGAGAGAGAAAGAGAGAGAGAGCTATAGGTGGTATATACGAGAAGTATATGTGAGATTTCCGCTAGATTAAATGCGTAGGAAAAAAAAGGTGGGTATAAAAAAGATAAAAAGGGATGTCGTTAATATCGATGAAAGTGCTCGGCGACGCCGACGTCGCCGTCCTTTGTCCTAGCGCTGGTCGGGCGGTGGTCCGTCCAAGGCTAAGGATATTGTACTCGTACGTCTGTGCACGTCCGTGTGCGTGAAATCCCCGGATACAGGTGTAGGTGAGCTGCACTGACGCGCGCGTACGCACGCACACACCTTGGCGCACAGCGTTACGTTCCCTGATGGATTCCGTTCTCGTTCGATACCTCTAGACTTAAAGCCTCGGCATCATATTTGCTTTTATGTACAACACCGCGAATTATACCCCACGACAGATCGTACACTACGAACTGTCAAACGCGATCGCGCGTACTATCGTGACAGTCCATCGCCGAGTGTTATCAGACGTTATACTTGTCCCATTCGGAACGATTCGGCTCAACTCGGCCGACTTCGGTCCCGCTCGACCGTTGCTCGGTCGACCTCGGTCGTGCCCGGCTGTCTGCGCAGTACACCATCACGCACACGCGGGTGACGTCACGTGACGTTGGGGCCACCCTACGCCAGACTTCAGAGGGTGGGACACACGTAGGGTGGTGCGCGATTTACACGTGTCTCTAATGATGGCGATTTTTCAATAGTTTTTTAACGCTTACGTCAGTCATCTCGTGTGACGTCAGACGTGGAATCCAAACGTCAGAGGGAGAGAGAGAGAGAGAGAGAGAGAGAGAGAGAGAAAGAAGGGGAGAAAATTATTAAGAAACACGCGCGGTTTCTAGAACTTGCGTCACGGTAGATGAGACTACGTGATCGTGCAGCAGGAGATCATCGACGGCGGAGAAACTCCGCTGTAAAAAGGAGATAAAATGAACAAAGCCGGATTTTTCTAGGATAGATTTCTCTCGCTTTTCAGCCAACGCAGCAATCGCCGTCGCATTTAAACTTTGCGTTTGCACGTACAAAGTGATAAAAAAAGTTCGTTTTTATTTCTGCGCTACAATTAACTTTCCTTCTTATATTCAGCAAATTTCAAACAAATAACATATTTTACTTTAAATACAGTTTAACTATAAAAACGGACTCTTTTATTTTATGCAACATGAAAATTAAATATACAAATAGATTTCCGAAATTACTTCAATTCGTGAGTATATTTATAATTACTTCATTTCGAGTATATTTTGTAAGAATTCTTCAAATTTGTTTGTTTTTTATGAAATCTATAACGTATGGTACATTTTCAATTTCGTCAAAATTTCAATCACGTTACATGTAAATTTCGAAAGTGTGTGATTTGGCACCTGTATTCAGAACGGACTTCACTTGTTAATATGCGCATGCACTTTTTATTGTATTTAGTTCCACGCTGGTTTTTCAATCTTTATCATATAATCAAATATGTAATCTGATGCAGAAAGCAGCCGAAGTTACACGAGATAAGTGCGATATTATCCGAGTTAGAGAGAGAGAGAGAGGGGGAGGGGGGGGGGGGGGGGGAGAAAAAGAGAGAAAAGAGCACAAGGATCTAATGATTATATCCGTCATGACACATTCTATCCTTCCAATATGAAAAACTTGCTAGTCGACTTTACAAGATTTGTTGATTTTAAATCGCATTTAAAAACAAGAAAAGTATTCTTGAATTAATATATATACTGGCTACATAAAAAAAAATATATATATATATTTCTATACAGAGATTATTCGAATTTATTTGAATTAAACATTATTTTTGTTTTTCACACAAAATTTTTGCGGGTAAAAATAATTAACAATAATTAACAATAATTAACGATAATTTTACAACTTTTTTTCATTGAAAATCGAGCACGTGTTTAAATAGAAAAAAAATCACAACACTATAAAATGACATTAAAATAATTTCAAAATAATTATTAAAAATAACTTATCGATCAGTCATAATTTATACTTTAGCATCATTTTCTGTTTTCGTGACCTGCAGTTGTTCTATTTTACAATTACAGGCAATCGAGTCGGAAGGTGGCGCCATCTTATCCGTCATGCTCACTACGGCGGTTGGTAAAGAAGGGAACGATTCGCGTGACGTGACAATGAACAAGTAGTACGTTCGCAATTCTAATGCAGTACGAAACAGGCGACGTAACGTAGTACGAAAATAAACAGAACACCTCGTGTTTACGGAAGTCCGTAACAGGTGTTTTTCACCCCCTCCGCCTCTGCCGCCCGCCGAAGCCGCAGCCTCCTCCGCCCTATGTCAAGTGATGGGGGAAGGGGACAGAAATGCAAGCGAAGCCTGTCCACATTCGCTTACGTAGGCATTGCTAGGCACTCGTCTCGCGTTCCTCGGCGTAAACCCGTCGGCCGTTTCGGTCACGGATGTTTGAGTCCTTGGGCACTGAGAACACGTTCGATGCCAAGAAAACCGCGGCATTCTTCGTTAATCCAAATCCTTTCGGTATTTTTGCGAATCCTCCGCCGCTCTTGTGCTTATGCAAAAGCGCAGACTTGAAAACGATTCGGGATTGTAATCTTCGTTTTTTTGAACAATAGAAAATTGTCTCAACTGAGACATTTGAAACGGGTCGTATGTAAGAATTCCTAGGTCAGAGACTCACGAGAGACGTAATTTACGAAGCTCCCCTTGTTTTGTTATTTAAATTCTTCGTAGACTTTATTATCCTCGATAATATGTAGATTACCGCTTAGTCTTTATCGCGATGTGAAGTATTCCTAAACTTTCTTAAGATTGCTCATCGCTCTCGAGAACGATTCTCGGTAATGAAATTGAAAGTGACTTAGATCCGTTTTCTTTAATTCTGCATGTATAAAAAATTGCAACGAAAGAATTCCCGTCTGCAAGAATTTAAATTTTTTGTAATCTCCACTCGTGTTTTAAGAATGTCTATTTGAATATTTATATAATGAAACGCGTGACGAGGCGAAACGAGCTGCGGCGATCAAACAAATCTGAATTCGACCGCGAGAGGTCGAATAGAGAAAACAGAGCTCCTTTGTAAATAGAACTTACCAGGTGCGAGTGTTCTTTATAAGTTATTTCGCGAAAAATAAAAGGTCCATGAAACGCAGGAGAAACGTCGTCCTCCGTGAGGCTTTCCTAAGCACCTGCACAGGTAGAAGCCAGGTGCAACTGCAATATAACCTCGCGTCACGTTGCAAAAACTTATAACGAACACTCAAGATACATACGAGACGTATAAATTTTCGCAATCTAAACTCGTGTACTTTAAAGTCCGATTAAACTAGATGTAAAAATATAATGTAAATAATTGTATATTTTTTCTAACTACGTTTAATCATTAAATTAATTTTATATCTAGACAACATGCATGCCTAAAAAACGTTCTAAAGGCATCATAAAGGCATCTCTTGGGATATATTTAAGTAGACTTTTTACGAGCCATTATATATATATATATATATATATATATATATATATATATAATGGCTACATATAATATCTATAGCCATTATTTAAGTCTTAAATTATAAGAAATTGACCAATCGATTATTCTTCTCAAGTTCGACTCTTCAATTTCTTACGGCTTAAACTTTAAAAGCTTACGTAACAGCTCTTGTTATAGAATGTGTGTTAAAGATATCTAAAAGACATCATAAAGAGGTCTTCTAAACCTAAACAAATACATGTTGTTCGGATAGTGAATAGCTTTTAAAGTTACAAAATTATCACTTAGTGATTAATTATAACTAAAAAAATTTCTACAATAAAAATTGTTTTTCCGATGTTAATATCACTAAACTAGTGATTTTAGAATAAATAACTTTTAAAGTTACCACATCACTTTAATGATTAACCATAAAAACAATTTTTATATTAATAATCAAAATTAAGTAAATTTAATTGTAAACCTAAATCACAAGTTAACCAGAAAAATCAAGCATAAAATAAACGTTTTAAATATCTAATTTAGGGAGAAATTAAGGACAATAGTTAATACTCCTTAATTCCTCCCTAAATTACGTATTTATCTACTTAACGGATATCGAACGAATCCGAACGACACTCTCATGCAAAAAGGATGAACTTTCGAATGACGTTGGAAAGACCCGTCGGGTCAATCTATTTGCTTTATTTAGAGTTCTGGAACGTCCTCCTGGCCGCTTATCAGCCATCCCGGATCTCGAAAATCCGCTGCAAGCGCAGCGGTTGATGAGATCATAAAATTCGTGGAGTCGGTTATATTCCAGGAGGCGCGTATACACGTTGGGTGAACGGCGAGCCGTGAATAATTCAGTGACAACGACGACGACGACGACAACGACGATTCGACGAATCGTCGGCGACGATTCCGAACAAGCTTGTGCAATGTGTCCGGAGTCAAAGGACAAAGATTGCGCCGCCACGTCGCAATTCGCATCGCATCGCGCGGCTCGCGATCAGCCCAGGGGACGGTCGTACAGTTCGCGCTAATGAACCAGCAAGCCTTTTGTGCTGCTTTTATTCTCTTACGTCATCAAACCCATCGGTGGTGACGGCGACGGCGCGACCTGGCCGCATTCTCGGAACGCGGCGCGTGTTAGGACGTCCCGGACGGTCCGTGAGGGTCCGACCTCTCGCGGCCTGTTCTGGAAACGCGCGAGTTAATGTGTTTTTCCTCTGATGTCAGGCGTTTTGCAGGCGTTTCTGGTTGATGCGAGTTGCATGGACGTGCGCTGAAAGGAACACAAATTTCGACGCCCGGAACAAGTCGAGGCTTCATCGTCGAACAAAATTTTTCCTTCGTCGATTTGGCGTATTCGAGCCATTTTTCGAGGCACTGAAAATTGAAATACAGCGTTGTAGGCACAGTCGTAGTCGTAGAATAAAAAAAATTCCATAGCTGTAATATTCATGCATGAGACATGCATGTAAAACGAAAAAAATAAAAAATGATTTATCCGCGCGCAATAAAAAACGATTAAGAACACCGTATCTTACATTACTCAGAAATGTTTAGAAAAGATTATCGTTATCTTTGCGTAGAACGCAGCTGGAGATATGGTCTTCCTGAAAAAGTGAATTCGTTTTTTAAAACTGATACCCCGGCGACATGGAGATGCATATAAATTACATAAGTATTAAAGCTACAGCACGCAAAGAAACTTAAGCAGTAAGACTTAAGCAATAAAGAAATCAACATGTGATTGAATTTGCTATTCATTACGTTATGACCTCACGTCTACTGATTGGCCTGCTTACGTTTTATTGTTAAGTGTTTTGTGTATCGTGGCCCTTACTTTGATTATTAGATAATTAAATATAAGAAACACTTTCTAATTTTGCAGTATTGTAAAAAATCGTATAATTTTTACGACAATTTTATCTTAAAGTGTTCTTCAGCGAAGAAATATTTTGAAAGACACTGGAAAATAATATCACTAACACTGTGTTTACAATTTATTACATTAATCTACGTCT